TCGGGAAAAGAAGGTGCACCTTGTTGGTTTGAGTAGTACCAATCAAATCTTTTAAGGTTTCTTGGTTTGGGTATTACAATCACCCCCGTTATACTCGCGACGTCCTCATCGCGCTTGATCCATCTGAGGATCCGTTGCCAGGCATTGGGATTCTAGAGGTGGCTACTACGGGTTCAAGAGGTGGCTCCCGCCCTATGGCGTAGCACTATGAACCGCATAACCCTTAGTTCCCAATTTCCGACCGGCAACCTGGCTCTGATACCACTTGTAACGCCCTTATCGCGCTTGATCCATCTGAGGATCCGTTGCCAGGCATTGGGATTCTAGAGGTGGCTACTACGGGTTCAAGAGGTGGCTCCCGCCCTATGGCGTAGCACTTTGTCCCGCATAGCACTTAGTTCCCGATTTTCAGCTAGCAACCGGGCTCTGATATCATTTGTAACGACCCAGGTCCCAATTAACAGACTGTCCCGACCGTTAGATCAACGACGTACTATCCCCACTGTACCAACATAGGTCTTTTTAGCATACTTTATCCTCCCCCGCATGTTTTCTAAGAAAACTTCCCAGGGAGTCACCTATCATAGAATTGCTCCAAGCCAAGCAAGCTTAACTGTAGAGTTTCTAACGATGGACTTCCGAAAAAGAAGGTGCACCTTATTGGCACGTAGCTAGAAACGTGTAGGATAGGGTAAATGAGATAGAGTGGTGGAAATAGAATCTGTTTTTATTCTGTTAGACTCAATCTTCATAATGTGAGATTCATACAGGTGTCAACAACAAAATCCCAAAATGAATAAAATACATTCATACACGTGCACATGATTCTAAATGAGTTGGAATAAGTAAAAATAAAAATAATCTTTTTCTTTTCCTTTTCTAACAATTCATTCGAATTGAAATATCTTGTACATGACTTATTCGAATCAACTTTTTCTCGAGCCTACATTATGTATTTAATTTCGATCTATCCAGCGAGACCGATATTTATATATTTATCTTCAACATATCGAAATCTAAATATTTGACCCGAATAAATATTGAATTAATCAATATATCACTGTAGTCCTCAACTTTCAAAACATCAAGATATGCACACAAAATAAAAATTCTATTCTATGAAAAATTTTGGGGCATTACAAGATCTGTAATGTGTTTTGTTTGAGTGAGATGAAGTCTTGAGTCATGCCACAATACCTGAACTCCAAGAAGTTGATGTAGTCTCCTGTAGTAAATCTCTGTCATTGCCTGTGATTACAATATCATATACATAGATAAGTGCAAAAATTATCTGCCTTTCATTCTTAAGGTAAAAGAGTGAAGTATCAGCCACAGATTGCTTGAACTTCCTATTTAAAAATGTTGTCTTTAGTTTGTCATACCAGGCTCTAGGGGCCTATTTCAATCCGTAGAGTGCCTTATTCAGTTTGCAAACATAGTCAGGCTTCGATTCATTCACAAATCCCTCAGGCTGATTCATAAAGACCGTCGCTTTCAATTCTCCATTCAAGGAAGCAATTAATGTCAACCTATCCGATTGTCCAGTCTTTTGCAACTGCTAGAGTGACTATTATTCAGAGGGTTGAAGGCTTGATGACAAAGCTAAATGTTTCATAGAAGTCAATGCCAGGTGTTTGATGAAAGCCTTTGGCTACCAGTCTAGCTTTGAATCTCTGTGTTGAACCATCTGTGTTATTTTGAGTCTGAAGATCCATTTATTTCCTACAATGTTGTATGTTGGTGAAGAAGGCACCAGTTCCTAGGTTTTGGTCTTTGTTAAGGCATTGAATTGTTCCTCCATAGCTTTCTTCCAATCATCATTCATCATAGCCTCAGTTACATTTTTAGGTTCTGAGATGTTTTCAATTGAATTTCCCAAATTAACCTTTGGTTTGAACACTCCTGCTTTACCTTTAGTGATCATGGGATGTTTCCAGTTCAATTTCATTATCATCTGATTGTTGAAAAATTTCATCATTTTGTAACACATCAGGTTCAGGCACTGCAGGTTCTGTTTCAACATTCCCTTCATATTCACTAAGGTCATCTCCATGAAGCACATTATCATACTGATTGTCATTTAAGTCAGAAGATGAGTGATGTTTAGCATGAGCAGCTTCAGAATGAGTAGCATCAGCAGGACTTAAGATAGAGAGTGTTTTGTTAAGTTCATAGGGAAGATGAAAGTGTGACACTATGGTTTCAGACATTGTTGGTTCTCATTGTTTTTTGGTAGAGGTTAAGGACTCGAATGAAAAATCTAACTTATTGAATACTACATGCCTTGAGATGTAAAATTTTCCAGTAGAGCTTAGACACTTGTAGCCTTTATGGGACTCACTATAACCAATGAATGTACACTTTGTTGAGTGAAAGTTAAATTTATGTTTTTGGTAAAGTCTTAAACAGGGATAACAGGAACAGCCAAACACTTTTAAGAACTGGTAGTTGGGTTCCTATTTGTACAAAGTTTGATAAGGAGAGTGCATTTTAAGAGTGGGTGTTGTCAACCTGTTTATGAGGCAGGTAGCAATTTGAAAAGCTTCCCACCAATACATCAAAGGTAGTTTCGCTTGAGCTAGGAGTGTTAGTCCAGTTTCAATCACATGTCAGTGTTTTCTTTCTATCCTACCATTTTGGGCTGAAGTATAAGGACATGGATGTCTGAATTCGATTCCTTCCTGTGCTAGAAATTTTAAGAAGGCTCTATACTTTCCTTCCCAATCAATTTGCAAGGTTTTTATCTTGCAGGACTCTTTGTTTTCAATAAGGTTTTCGAATTGAATAAACACATTTAAGGCCTCAGATTTTTATTTTAGAGGATAGATCCAAGTAAATTTGCTGAAGTCATCTACGAAGGATATGTAGTACTTAAATCCTGAGGTGGATTGGATAGGATCTTGTCCCCATATATCTATAAAGACCAATTCTAATGGGGTTTTGGCATGTGATGAAGATAAAGGAAAGGGCAGCAAGTGGGCTTGACCAAGTTTACAAGCATTGCAAAATGTTTTGATATCATTTCCTTTAACTTTCAAATTATAGGATTTGAGAACTTGAGAGTCATCATTTGGCTAGAAAGATGACCAAGTCTCTTGTGTCATACATCAGTAGGGAAAATTAAAGACTTATGACTGGGAGTAATAGATGATAGATTGCAGAATGATTTATTTGTGATGGCTGACTTTTGAGACAGATACTTGGTAGTTTGGTGAGAAAAATCCAACTTGTACAACCCATCCTTAAGCTTCCCTTGCATTACCACTTCCTTCGTTGACTTGTCTTTGACAAAACAACAATTAGGATAAAATTCTATGTAAACATCATTGTCTAAGGTTAATTGAGAAACACTGACAATATTTTTTCTCAATCTCAGGGACATGGAGGAGTTTATTCAGTACCAAAGTTTCCAAAGTGAAAGATATGTAGCTTACTTCCATTTCCTATCATAACTTTCTCCTTACCAGTAAATTCATTGACTGATGTGATGTTTCCTTTGTCTGAGGCGATGTGATTACTGGCCCTAGTGTCTACATACCATGCTGGATCAGTTACTATGCTGGGTGATGTAATGAGAGCTGCAGGTGAAGGGTTATAGTTGCTTCTTTGGTTAGGTGAGGTTCCAGAGTATATGTCATCATATATGAAATTACATATGTTGGCCTTGTAACCAATTTTCCCACAAATTTGACAGATTGGTGTGTCACTACTACCATGGAAATTACATCCTTTATTTTAGTCCCTTCTTCCACTTCTGTAGTTGTTAAAATTGGTGAATCTGCCACCAAAACCTGGCTTGTAGGTTCTGAAACCATGGTGACTAGATCTTGGAGAGAAATAGGCTGAAGTCTAATTAATGCTGATTTCAGCTATGTCTTTTCTCAGGGAATTGAGATGTTCCAATCTGCTTTCTAAGTCAAGAGTTTTGACTGAAGTTCACCCCAAGATATATGGTCTCTATAGTTGATTTGGACAACAATGGGAGTATAATCCTCATCCAGACCAGCTAAAACTTAAGTAACCAAGTTTGTGAGAAACGCAGTTTTCCGAGCAATCTCAAGGTTGTCAGCAAGTTGCTTCACCCTGTTCAAGTATTGATCAATGTTCATTTTTCTCTTCCTTGAATTCTGTAGTTCACTAGTAAAAAAGAAAATTATGGACCTGTTTTGCTCTCCATAACTTTCCTCAATAGCTATCCATAGCTCATTTGAGTTTGTTGCACCCATAACTCTCATTGCAATATCTGGAGCCATAGATGAATAGAGTCATCCCATAAGTAATTGATATGTTAACATCTATTGGCTATGTTCAAGATTTTTTATCATCTCAATGCTGGTTCCTGTTTCACCAGTAACCTGGCTGGCTATAAATTCTTACGGACACACCTTTGTCCCTCGAATATAACCTTCAAGATTGTGTCCACAAATGATTGGTAGTATCATATTCTTCCATAGTAGGAAGTTGTTTTTGTCCAGCTTTACTGAAATAATTTGGGTAAAATTGACACCAAAGGGCGAGAGGTTGTTGCTGCTCAGTAGGGGAGTGGCAGTGCTGCTAGAGATTGATGCAGGTGCAGAAATTAGATCAACATCTTGTGGAGTATTGTTAGCGTTGGCCATGGTGCTCTGATACCAAGTTGAAGTTTAAAGAAAAATAGAATTCCAATTAACCATGGTTTTCATTACGAATATATGATACAAAAGAATGTTGGAAGAATGATCTAGAATAAATTGTTGTTGGATAGTTCCCAAATTGGTGGATCATATTTGGAATTATTTACAACAGAATCTACTGGTGAAACAGCTTCAAGGTAACAAGGATTGCACTCACCGGATATGCACTAACTTATCGGGTTGGTCGCTACTCACCAGATATGCACTTACTTACCAGATTGGTCACTGCTCACCGGATATGCACTCACTTACATATTGAGCACTTACCGGTTTGGATTCTTACCGGATTGAGCTGCTAACTTGCTAAATTCTAACTTGCTATCTTTGTTAATTTCTTAACACATCATAAGATGCTAAACTCATCCACAAAAGACCAAGATCAACCAACTTCTGATTCCCTGGCGACTTTCTTTTATAATCGTTTATGTATATGTTGCTCCACCAGATCACGGTAGTGTTCTCTTTCGAAGGACGAAGCAGCTGAGGCAGAATCTGTTGAGGAACATTAATTTGACGAGAACCAGTCAGAATCTCAATCTCATAAATAGGATTCCTTCTCAACTCTGTCAGTTGGTTAATCTCATTATGGAACTGCTGATATGGGAAATGCCACCACCTCTTATGTGTAAAATATTGCAAGTCAGGCAGGTAATGATTTTCATACATTTGACATAGTTGGCTAGTATACCGAAATGTAATTCCTAGGAATATAATATTTGAAAGATTAAGATTTTATATGAATTTTCGGTTTTTCCATGAATAGAAGAAAACAAAAATGCAATTATTGCCCCTTGCACGACCTTAATTCTATGTGGTTTCCTTCACACTGAAAAGAATGCTGATAAAATTATATCTGCCCTCGTTATGGCGCAAATTTGATTTTATCCTTCATTTTTTCCACTGTTCTTTGTTTCTACGAATGAAATTTGCTACAATAACATGCTTTTTTAGCTCCTTCTCCAATGCTATCTATTTCAATAGTCCATTATTGAGTATATTCATCATCCTTAGAGGACAGCCTTAAATTTCATGAACAGTGTCGAGTTAGGAATGAAGAGGAGATTAGGCGGATTTTCATGGCTACGAGATAAGAAAATATCTTGAGAGTTCTATTTCCTATCCATACTATAATTTTATGGAGGTTTCATTTTCATTCTTTGTCCAATATCAAATTTCAACCATGAGCCTACTGATCAAGTTCAACATTCTCAAAAGTTCAAATCATAAGTTACGGTCGAATCTGTCGTTTGTGTTAGGCCACCAATTCATTTCACATATTCTAGAAGGGAAAAGAAGGGGTCTCGCAAGTGGAGGCGGGAAAGGGTAAACTACATTCTGTTGAAGGGAATATTGGGTAACAAATATTAGTTACAGGAGTCTATAAATAAGAGTAGCAAGGGAATAGTTGGTAGGCAAATATTGAGTAGAAAAGGAGTCCTGTTGTTACTTTCTTATCTTTATTTCTTTAAAGTTTCAATCAAAAGCTCTATTATAAATTCTATTCCTCTTTTTTAGATCGGAGTCCTATTTGGTATCAGAGGGGTTCTTTCCAATGGCACAGAAAAAGACAGACGACATAGTAGACACCACATAGAAGGAAAGGGAGGAGATGAAGGCAAATGTGCACCGTCTCTTGGGCTTAGAGAAATCAATGGATCAACTAACCCAAAACATGGCAAAAATGTTACAATCAATGGAGGAGATTGTAGCATCCCTCTCTCTAATTCGAAGGTTGGACTAAGCCAAAGTTTTGGGGAGGGCGAGGGAAGGAATGGTAAGTATGATTGAAGGGCAGGTAACACTGGAGATCATGAGGGATCACCGCGCAGTTGACAGGGGAAAATGGCAGGAAGGGGTTGGAGAAGCCAGTTATGGGAGAACCACAGCCAACACAATGCAGAGCAAAGAAGAGAAAACGGGTGCGAAAGCTGGAAATGCCCATTTTCAGTGGGAAAAATCCAGATGACTGGCTTTTTTGAGTGGAGAGGTATTTCGATGTCAATGGGTTGACGGAACGGGAGCAATTCCATTTAGCTTGGACGGTGATGCATTGTCATGGCTTCAGTGGACGGAAGCCAGAACACCCATTTAGACGTGGCGGGAATTCCGGGAGCAATTATTGTTGCGATTCCGAACGACGCAATGAGAAGTTTTTTGCTATAAAACAAAGGGGCAACGTAGCAGAATTTCGACAAGATTTCAAAATGTTCGCCTCCTCTCTGAAAGGAGCATTTGATGAACTTTTAGAAAGCACCTTTGTAAAAAAACACATATATTACAAAAATATGTTGTTAGGAAAAAACCTCTCATGGGTTCCCTGAGTAGAGGCCATCTCCCTGCACATGTGCATGTTTTTTTCTTCTCGAATATTCGAGTTTTATCTTGAGCTTTAGAGAAATTCCCCCTACTGAATCAGACATTGCAAAGATATATGAACAGTTATCACTCACAGAACAGGAAGAAGAAGCATTGGTGGTGGAAGAAACTGAGGTGCTAACCCCCCATTGGAGTGGCAAATGCTTACTGTTCAAACTCTTAACGAATAAGTATTTCAACAAAGAGGCATTTAAGAATACTATGATGGGTCTATGGCGGCTAAATAAAACTTTGAGTATTCGTGACATTTCACCCAATCTATTACCAGCAGAATTTGAAGATGACCAGGTTAAGGAACGAGTCAAGCATGAGGATCTATGGGTTTTTGATAAACATCTGGTTTTAACTAAAGATGTTAATGGTCTTGAGCAAATTCATCACATTTCGTTCTCTAAGGCGAATTTCTGGGTAAGAGTTTACGATCTCCCTATCATGGTGTATAATTGGAAGATGGGAGATTCTGTTGGGAGGCAACTTGGTAAAGTCAATGTAATTGACATTGATAAAAATGAAATTGCAAGAGGTGATTTCCTTCGAGTTCGGGTATGCCTAGATGTATCTAAACCGCTGTTACGCGGTAAGAAGATTTGTGTGGGATCTTTCAAACCTTTTTGGGTTTGCTTTGCTTATGAGCAACTCCCAAATTTCTACTACATCTTTGGCACACTGGGACATATCCAAAAAGAGTGCTCTCAATGGAGATGTTCTATGGAGGCATACAAAATTTCCGACTTCTCCTATGGCCTTTGGTTACGGGCTGGTAATCTTGGAGATTGTGGAGGTCCTATACATGAACGGAAATTGAATTCCCTGGTTCCAAACTCTCCGACGTACCATGCAAACCCACCTAACTCCAATGATGTGGAAAATGGTAAGCAGATGCCAGAAATGGAAACAGACGGTAACATAGTCGGAATTCAGGAGCTATTACAGGAAAATGATTCAGTGGAAGATGCTATTAAGCTAATGAAGGCAACAATTCTGGAGCAAGTCCAGGAAAAGATTCCTAAGGGAGATGCTATAGAGCTAATGAAGGGAACAATTCTGGAAAAATTTAAGGAAATATTCCTAAGATAGATGCTATGGTGTTGATGACGGCAACAAATCAGGGGGAACAAATTCCACAGAATATTATGATTATTACAAATCACACGAAGGAAAATATCACTAATAATGTCACTGGTGATACTCTGGCTATGGGTACTGCTGTCTTTCAACAAACAGGTCATGCTTCACCCAATTCTGACGAGAATCAAACACAAAAGAAGGGAGCAAACATCACAAGAAGGTGGAAAAGAATCAATAAGAATCAGACTCCAAATTCTATTGTTTTTGCTCCTCTAGATAGTCTGAAACGGCCCTTAGATATCTCCATTGCAAATGGTGAAGCAGTCCGAAATTCTAAACAGTTGAAAGATAAAGATAAACCCCAAGATAGGAGTTATGATTCCAATTCTCAAAGTTTGGTGGTGGCTGAAATTCAGCCCCATCAGTCCCCATGAAAATTCTAAGCTGGAATGCACAAGGGCTTGGGAACCCTCTTGGCATTCGCACTCTCTCTGATCTCATCAGAAAAGAAGATCTCAATGTTTTGTTCTTCCAAGAAATAAAACTTAATGCTGCAAAAATGGAACTTTGTTCAGTTAAGCTAAAATTATACGAATGTTTTCATGTTGATGTTGTTGGACGTAGTGGTGGAATTGCACTCCTGTGGAAATCTGATGTTTATTTATCTATTCTCAGCTACTCCAAAAACCACATTGATGCTAAAATTGAATCGCCCTTGCATAGCTGGTTCTTATCGGGTATCTATGGCCACTTGGAGGTAAATAAACGTATGGAAACTTGGGATTTATTGAGAAGACTGAAAAGGGATTCATTTGAAGCATGGCTTGTCTTTGGTGATTTTAATGAAATCCTATTTGATAACGAAAAATGGGGAGGCCGAGATAGACCAAGACAACAATTAGAAAATTTGCAGCAGATGTTCTTTGATTGTGAGCTTAGAGATCTTGGGTTTAAAGGCCCCCAATACACATGGTATAATGGTCGACATAACTCCACTCAAATATTTGAAAGCTTGATCGCTTTATTGCAAATGACTCTTGGTGTCTACTCTTTACACATGCTTTGGTTACTCTTGGTTTAACCGTATATTAAGATCATCTTTCCCTATGGATCCAGCTTGATGGTACTAATCGAACAAAAAGAGGACCTAAACCATTCCGTTTTGAGTCAATGTGGCTAGGTGAAAAAGCATGTTCTGATATTGTGGTGGATCAATGGTCTAATAATAATCCTCAGAATCTGGATCATGTGATGAGGACTATTAGTTGCTGCATTAATCAACTTCAATATTGGAATAAAACTAAATTTGTCAAGGTCCAAGTGGAGCTTAACAAAGCCAAAACTAAGTTGGCTCAAATATAGCATCAACATCCCATTTGTAACGCCCCAAAATTTCATATATCTTGAGGTGTTACCAAACATAATTTTCATATACATAAAATGCGGAACAATAAAATTCTATTTTCTAAATAAATAGAATATTCATAAATTTAAAT